AACGCACGTTCGCAGGTGCGTTTTCACGCGCGCTCGCATGCGCGCTCGCCTACGCGCTCGCTCTTGGAGCCGGTAGGAAGCACGAGTCCGCCGTCGACAAGTCCGCACAGTGACGGACAAAATGTCACGTCACAGTGCTTTTCTCAGATGAGGCTACATTTTGTAGTAACGAACAACTTAATAGACACAACTGCCGTTATTGGTCAGATGTTAATCCCCACTGGTATAGGCCAATAGATCATCAAAATCGATGGAGTATTATGATGTGGTGCGGCATTGTAAATGGTTATTTGATTGGACCTTATTTTTTTGAAGAGAATGTTGATTGACACAGTTACTTATCGTTGCTAAGAGATCACTTACCAGGCTTATTAGAAGATGTTGACTTAGCAACAAGAGCAAGAATGTGGCTTCAACAAGATGGTGCTGCACCGCATTATGCACTCATTTTACGTGCCTTTTTAAATGCCACTTGCAATGACAGATGGATTGGACGAAGGGGTCCAGTTGAATGGCCTCCTTGCTCACCAGATCTGACGTCGCCTGATTTCTTTTTATAGGGATACTTGAAAAATGTTGTTTTTGCTGAACGACCAACCACAAGAGATGATTTTATGGACCGCATTCATAGAGCTACCCTGCTTAGAACTGTGGATAGTTTTCAAAACAGATTGCAGTTATGCCTCGAAGCCAACGGAGGGAATTTTGAACAATTACTCCATGGGTAATTCATTTAAATTACAGTGTCAGTGAGAGGCAAGGGGACTCACGATAATCAAGCACCCCGACGTGAGAGGCAAGGGGACTCACGATAATCAAGCACCCCGACGTGAGAGGCAAGGGGACTCACGATAATCAAGCACCCTAAAGGAAACAGAACTTACTACGTCCACGTCTTAGTTTCCGGGTAACGCTAAAAGTAAGATGAAATTGCTTTTGACTTTGATATGACCTTCAAAAGGTCAGGTCGAAAAACTAAAAAATCCCTATGCTCATGTAAAAAGTGCCATTGTTTAAGAGCTCATTGCATGATGTAAAATTTTCCGCTCTTTCGAAATCCGCAGTCAAAAATAGGGTTTCCCATTTAAAAAAACCATCGTGACCTTGAAATAACCTTGAAAATTGACCTCAAGGTCAAGCTAGTCAAAGTGATTTACATTTTTACAATTCATTGACTTTTTTCAAGCATTATGCACATTTGTGTTACCCAGAAAACCACGTTATTTCAGAAAAAGTACACCAGATCGTTTTTCAGGCATTTGACCTTCATTTTTTACCTTTCCAAGGTCGCAAAAACAATTTTTTCATAAGACAAGTTTGATGTAAAATTTTCCGCTCTTTCGAAATCCGCAGTCAAAAATAGAGTATCCCATTTAAAAAAACCATCGTGACCTTGAAATAACCTTCAAAATTGACCTCAAGGTCAAAACCAATGGTACAATTAAATGACCCCCTCTGCCCTGGTCAACTTTTATCTAAACCATTTTTTTGTAGATACCGTAATTTGGAAGATATTCGGGTCCATATATTAAAATGACTCACCCTGTAGAGACAAGCAAGACTGCGTTCTTTCTTTAAAAACAATTGTAATTTTTTATAAAAAAAAATTCATTTTTACAAAACCTATCATTCGGCTCTTGCAATCGTAAAATATAATTTTCGAATACTATACAGGGTGTCTGAAAATTACCGAGAAATGTTTCGTGTGTGGGTAGAACAGACTATACTGAGTCGAAAAATCCTGTACCATTTTGCAGTGTCAGTAGTAGTTAACGAGATATTAACGTTTAAAGATAGCAGAATACGCGCGGTTGCCGGAGGTACGCAAGGCGCGCGGGCCGCAATGAGCAGGGACGGCCTAGCAGGCGCGCCGCGCCGTTCCAGCTTAGGCCCGTTTCTACCTACTCTGGTTTTTTTTTAACTATAATATTGGTTTTTTTTAACTATAATATTGGTTTAGTAAAACTTCGGTTAAGATTAACTGTTAGTTTAATATTGATTATTTTCTACGAACATTTCATCTAGGACGTTTAGCTAAACTTATAACTTGTGCGACATAACTTTAGGAAACTTGGTATATTGAATTGATGCTGATTGGTTCAACGTTTGTTCTAACGGATACATTACGTGTGACAGACGGCCGCAAATCTTAAAATTTATATTTTCTATTATTATCTCTGTAGTAATGTAAACAGTATAATGAGTGAAGAAAAGAAATCACAACGTAAACGTGCTCAAAATTTCTCTGAAGCAGAGAAAATAATGTTAATAAGTTTAATATAGCAATATAAAGACGTTCTTGAAAATAAGAAATCTGATACGGTAACCTCAAAAGATAAAGATAAATGTTGGAAACAATTATTTAATAGTAGATCTTCTGGCGAATGTCGAAGTTCTGAAGTTTTGAGAAGTTGTTGGGAAAATTTAAAAAACAAGACAAGAAAATTTTTTGCTGATATGTATGAAAGGATGCAGCTGTTTAAAACAGGTAAATATTTTTTAATTAATAATTCGCAAAAATATATTTTAAAATAAAGTGTGTGCCATCCTATATTCTAATTTTTAGGTGGAGGATCTTATGAATCAAAATCGGATGTGCTTTTAGAACGTATACGAGAAATTATTAAACCTTCAGTTGATGGTGTAACTAATAATTTTGACTGTGATGATATAACAGGTAAAATATACTATTGGGTGGATGTCATCGTAGAAAAACATACAATAATATATCTATGTATGTATCAAATATGTACTTCTATTTTTTTAGATGACAATATAAATTCGTGCAATAAGCTTCCTACAATTACAAATACAAATTTAAATGAGGCAATAAGTCACAATACAGTAATAGAATTGCTTGATGAAATTAACAATGGAACAGAAAGCACGCATGAAGATATACTAAATGTAAGTATTAAGGTATATTACATTATCTATTAATAAAAATATACGTAAACATACAAGGGCAATTTGAGTCCTCAGCTGATGTAGGTGCCAACGATTAAATAAAGTTCCACTTAATCGTAAATATCTTCTTTATTTGAACATTTCGACTCTGTTTCAAGTCATCCTCAGCAATACAATAATTTGATCAAATGAGTCAACTGTTGACGTGAGTCACTTATAGGTACCAAGCTAGAGTGGATCCTGATTATAATTACAAAAAATTAATTCACAGAATTAACCGATGTACAAAATAGAGTAACTCACCTCAACAAGAAAACTCAGGTTTATTTCATGAGCTTTGGAATCATTTTATTATTATTAATCCAATTATCAACGCTAATATCTCGCAAAAATCTAATAAGTCTATATTTATCCTTCAAAAGTTGCTAAACGATTAAAATTTCAAAATGTAAACCTTTATACATCAAGAACTAAACAAAACATTAAAGTCAAGAAACATCAATACTAATATTCATAAGAAGAGGTCATGAATTGTGCGAAGCAAGACGTGAAAACTACTTTAAAATACATATATTCAATTTAATTGGTCAATTCATTTAGCATTGTCGTATAAGTATGATGTAACCCATCGGTATCAGATCTTAAATTTAAACCATTTTTTTGCATAAGAATGTGCGCTTTTTCAGAAATTAGCCTTTTGCTTAGATTTCTTTCCTTATCCAAAATTTGGATATTCTCCCAATCAAATTCATGATTCACCTCTAATCTGTGATTAGTAATGACAGACTGAGTATTTGTTTTCCAGTTAATGGAGTTACGATGTTCGTTAATTCTGGTATTCAGTTTCCTCCCAGTCTGTCCTACATACGTTGCATCACAATCTCTACATTTAATTTTATATACTACATTTTTGTTTTGATTCCTGGGGAGAGTATCCTTCTGGACTTTAATAAATCTATTTAGTTTATTATTACTATAAAACGCTGTTTTAACATTTTCTTTCTTACAAATTCTTATAAATTCATTCGCTGTATTATTTGTATAAGGAATCAAAAACCAAGAAGTTCTTTCAACATCATCATCAATGTTGTTATTCAAACTAGAATTTTGTTCAAATTGAACACGTCTTGATAACAAAAATTTTATTCTAATGGAAATATTGTCAAAAATAAACTCTATTGGGTAATCATTCCTTAGTAATGTATTAATAACAAATGTGATGTTCTTTTTATGAAATTTTTCATCAGATAACAACATAGCTCTATCAATAATTCCAAAGACCACACCTCTTTTTTGTGATAATGGGTGTGCAGACAAAAAGTTAAGATATCGTCCCGAAAAAGTAGGTTTGTGATACCAGTCCATCTCTAATCTATCTTTATTTTTGATTAATGTCAAATCTAAAAAATTGATCTTGTCACCTCCATTTTCTAATGTGAACTGTAACCTCTCATGGAACGAGTTAAACACTGTCAAGACATGATCAATTGAATCTATTGGAACTGCCGTCAAAATATCGTCCACATATCTAAAATAAAATGGAAGTGGAACTCCCAAGATATCCAAGGCCTCCGTCTCCAAATCCTGCATCACTATATCAGCAATAATTGGAGACAGGGGTGACCCCATGGGAGCACCAAATTTCTGCTGGTAATATTGTTCATTAAATACGAAGAAGGTAGAGTCCAAAACAAAGGTCAACGCCCTTAGAAACTCAACCTTCGGCATACTAATTCCGTTCTTAATCTTATTCCATCTCTTTTCAATACTCTTAATAGCCAACTCAATCGGGACATTAGTAAACAATGAAACAACATCCAACGATATCAGAGAAAAATTCTTTTTAACTTGAGTGCCTTTTAATTTCTTCACTAATTGAACACTGTTTTCTATTTTACTGAATAGACTGTCTATGTTTTTTGATATAACTTCATGCAAGAATGAAGCCAACGAATACAGCGGACTATCAAGGGATGAGATTATTATTCTAAAAGGTGTCCCCTCTTTATGTATTTTTGGCAGAGCATATGCCATTGGTAAATTGCCATCACTACTTCTCAATTTCTTGTAAGATAATTCAGAAATATCGTTTTTCATTTTCCATTCTTTTAATAATGTGTACCTTTTTTAAATCAATGTGTGTATCAATGCCAATCGAGTCTAAACACTAGGTGTAGTTGTGTGTCAAATTCTTTATTGTATTAGAATATATACGTTTCGATCCTTGTATCGGATCCTTATCAATATTTCTTAATTATTACGTTACATCAATGTGCTCCATAGAACACTACATTATCAAAAGTTATTTGTCAGTACTAGATAAATTATGAATACAGTTATAACTTAAAAATTGATATTTACTTACATGATATAATGTTAGTATGTGTGAAATTCATGCTACTCTTCATGTCTATCGTCAACATGCAAATGTTCTCGTTTACAATTTATCGATTATTTTGTGTTCGGTTTACATGTAATGCGCATGACCGTCAATATATAAATAACAAAGAGATTGAAACCTAAACTTTATCCAATAAGCATTCATATGCTGAGTTCAAATTCTCCGTGTCAGTTTGTAAATTCAAGCTATTTTCTTGTCTACGTATATGTATCATTTCAGATGTGAGTCTTTTGTTTAAACTTATCTCTTCATCAAGGATTTCTATATCATCCCATTTAAATTCATGCGAATATTCTAATCTATGTTCTGTGATTACAGATTTCTGTTGTGTGTTCCAATTTATATGATTTTTATGTTCAGACATTCTCGTTTTTAAAGTTCTACCCGTTTGACCAACGTACGTAGCATTACCTTTTTTAACAAATTGTTGAGTGGATTTTTTGCTAATTTCTTATATGTATTTTCATCACTCAACATTTGACTCACTTTATCCATGTAAACATCCCTATCTAACGCCACCGTTATATTCCCTTTATCTGCCCGTGTGAATATTACGTTCGGATTCTTTTTCATAAATTTATTAGTGTAATTAACCATATCTATGATATCCTCTTTGAGACTTGATTATTGAATATGGACGACGATAGAAATCTTCTTAAAATCGACAGAGATAAATTTCTGAACTTCAAAATATTAATTGTTTTTAAAAACCAAAAATTGTTTTCTATGTTTTTAATAAAATCTATCAATGTATTTCTGCGATAAGAAAAAGGTAGAGCAAAATTTTCACCTAATTGTAACAGTAGCTGCACTTTTTTGGGGATATTCACATTAGATAAATTCAAAAACCATCCCTCCCTCTGACTAGTCAGCGATGATGCAACCGGAACATCTATGAATTCATCGACCTCAATTCTTACTACCAACTGATTTTTTGTTGGACTTACTTCCGTGTCTGAAGGACAGTTCTCAACATTCTCCATGTAACATATAGGTCTTATGTTTTTATACCTTTTTATTTTTTCTTTTCGGAAAAGCCACTCGAGTTTATTCTTTAATTTTCTTTCCTCTCTTAAGAAATGATTTTGGAAAGTAATCTCCTGTTTAGCAAAAAAACAACTGTGTATGTTCATCGGGATGTAGTTCATTATATTCCTTCTAAGTCGTATAACCTCTTTTTCAGAATGATTGATAGCTCTATGCGCATCATTGAGTTCAATTTTTAAAATTCTAACGACAAATTGTTTTTTGAAATGATTAAATTTATGTAACGAACGATAGTGAAACATATTAAGTCTATAATTTAGTAAATATCGCAAATGTTGTGTAGTTAGGTTGTTTCTAATACAAGTCTTAACTAATCTAATACGTATTTTATTTTTAACGATTAATTTATGATGTTTAATCCAAAGCTTCATGAATTCTACTGGAATAATACCAAAGGTAATCAGAATAAACTTAAAAAAGGACATTTTATTCTGGATTTGACGCATGTTACAGCCAGCGTACTAAAATCAATTTAAACAGACCCAATTCATAAAATGCAATAAAAATATACGTAAACATACAAGGGCAATTTGAGTCCTCAGCTGATGTAGGTGCCAACGATTACTTACAAATACTGTAAGAGTATTGCCGCTATCGCTACGGCGCTCGCATCCGTGTGTAATTCGGTTGGCAAATTTGGTCGGTAGAGTCTCAGGATTGGATAGGACATGAGTTCTGACTTCAACTCATTAAACGATCTTATGCAGTCATTGAACCGATGACATTAATTTTACTATCGGCAATGGTACAATATGAATTTGTATTATCTTTTAAATAATCAACGTTTCGCCCGAAAATTTCGTCGATAACTGATTTACGTATAAAGGAAGCTGGAGACCCGGTATCTAACAATGCAGATAACTCACAGTGTACACCGTTTATAACCTTAACCTTTGGTGCGATATCATCTATTTTCAATGCTTGAGACGCGTTCTCGACGCCAGTTATAATTGTTGACTTCTCTGACGATGCCGTTTCAGCCTCTTCTGCTGCAGCGACAGACGTCGAGATTGGTGTGGCAGGCTGCATATCTTCCTTCTTTTTCAACTTGAAGCAATTTGTCCTGCTATGACCCTTCGCCTTGCAGTAGATGCAGAATTCATCCTTCTCGGTCGTTGATCGGTCCTTACAAGAAATTGAGAAGTAGTGATGGCAATTTACCAATGGCATATGCTCTGCCAAAAATACATAAAGAGGGGACACCTTTTAGAATAATAATCTCATCCCTTGATAGTCCGCTGTATTCGTTCTTGCATGAAGTTATATCAAAAAACATAGACAGTCTATTCAGTAAAATAGAAAACAGTGTTCAATTAGTGAAGAAATTAAAAGGCACTCAAGTTAAAAAGAATTTTTCTCTGATATCGTTGGATGTTGTTTCATTGTTTACTAATGTCCCGATTGAGTTGGCTATTAAGAGTATTGAAAAGAGATGGAATAAGATTAAGAACGGAATTAGTATGCCGAAGGTTGAGTTTCTAAGGGCGTTGACCTTTGTTTTGGACTCTACCTTCTTCGTATTTAATGAACAATATTACCAGCAGAAATTTGGTGCTCCCATGGGGTCACCTCTGTCTCCAATTATTGCTGATATAGTGATGCAGGATTTGGAGACGGAGGCCTTGGATATCTTGGGAGTTCCACTTCCATTTTATTTTAGATATGTGGA